GGGGTCAAATACTTAAAAACTGAATGTCCATGACTAAAGAAGAAGCACTCTGCCATGTGCTTTAGAAACAGACTGTAATGGAGTTACCGACAGTCAGTCTTTTGTTTTGTCTGTAAAAAGCCACCTCAGGGCGGGGTTAAAAGTCCCAGTGAGACCCTGAAGGGGGCTTTTACAAACAGTAGCATACATAAAGTCAGATAGCTGATAAATATCAGGGTAAATCATGTCCAAATGAAGTGTTTTTCAAAATGAATAGTCTGCTGGCTTTGCTGCAAGGATACTATTAAAATGTTATTCAATAAATAAATACGTTGACGTTCTAGCCTATATGTTGGACCAATACAACTTCTCATAGAATAGGCAAATGGCCATCTGCTAAAGAACAAAAAAGGGCCCAAAAGTCACACATTTCCATCACTTTTGGAGATTGTATTTATTGAAAATGTGATTAAGATTTGCACCATCAATGTACAATATTAATTAGCTGCATTATAACCTGATCTTGTACCATAGCACGTATAAATCCTCTATTTTCTGTGTTATTATTGTGCTTTCATGGTACATCAAAGAGGGTACATTTTACATTTTGGCTGATCTAATCAGAAAAGGCCTTATTTGCATAATTAAACTTAACAGACAATAAGTAATGGACACAATGTAGGTAATGAACTGGGGATGTTTAAAGCCATGAGGATTATTCCTTTAAATTCTGTGTACATTTTTACATAGGCAGAAAGCAGATAAAACCTGCCCTGCTGTTTGGTTTTCTTGGTCTTATCAAAAAAGATAGAGTATCTGCTGTCTATTAAAATCTCACTGAACACTCGACATATCTTCTGCTGAGACTGTCTAATCTTACCCCTATCTCAGAGCTCGGCTAAAATTAGGCTTCTGTTTCTAAAATAATCGCTGCTCTGGAGCCGGTGCTTTGGGAACATTTCAATAATTAATTCAGGCTCTTTTTTCTCTCTGTCTCTTACTCAGGGACACTCACATGCGTACCCACGTGCCGTACAGACAGACACTTCTGTTCGATTTTCACAGAGCCCACCACAGCTGTCTGAGGTCTTTTAAATGATGTGCTTGTCCGATTTAGAAAGAGGCCTCTGAACCCCTCAATCCGACCCAAATCATCATGTTTCCCCCTTTCAGCTCTTGTGCCCGCTGGCTGAGAGAAGCAGTGTGTTGTGGTGTCGGGCTGGGCTGAGGCTGGCCAGCTGTGGGCATCTTCAGAGCAAACAAGGGCTGCTGCAGGATTTAGAAAAAAGTTACTAATTGCGATTCATTTGACTGATTTTACAATTGCAATAATGTTGAGGGAATGATCATTATTCGCATTAACAGATATATATATATATATATATTAATGTGATCATGGTGTGTTTTTTTTAAGAGGATCTTTACCAAACAAGTTTTTTTTATAAAGTTTGCAGGCCTGGAAAAATGTGTATAGAATGATATTACAACAAATGTTGCCTTTGATCTGGATATTGCGATTTTGATAACATTTCGTATAGTTGTGCACGACACATGGCTCATGTGGATTAGGTCTGGATTTGCATCTGTGGAGCCTGAATGTGTGAGTTTTTGTGTAAGAGGGAGGAAGGAAGTAACTGTCTGGGGTTAAATGCAGCTTTGGCACCTGTTCAGCCGGGTATGCAGGGCTTATATAATGTATGTAGGGGTGAGTGGTGTGTGGGACATGTGGGTGTGCAGCAGGAATTTATCAGCCTGCTGGACAGAGGGCCGAGCCCCAACACATGCACCCCAGAGACGTAAAGACTTATTAAAGGCTTTAAAAAATATTTTTTTAATCAGCTACTTAGTGATGGGTTCCTGATTTTTGGTTAACAATTTGGGTTATTTCAACATCATTTCTATATTCTTCTTATTTCTTTTTTGCTCTCAAACGGCCACGGCTCAGTTCGAAAAAAGTATTTGATCACACCAATCCAAATTTAGCAAAACATTTAAACGAAAATGTGATGACGGCATGTTCATTTAAAAAATGTCAGTTTAATGAACTGTCATAGAGATATAAATAGGATCTGAAATACTTTTTTCAGTGGCTTTAAACTACGTATTTGATAAAGAAAATATTAGGATTGTAGCACATTTTGATGTACTTTTTCCACCCTTGTATTCCCATGGTAGGTCTACAAAATAAATGACCGACATGTTTTTAAGCCCTGAGGACCGCCTCACCCTTCTCTCTGTCTATTTCTGTATTTCTCCGTCCCATTGGGGCTAAATGTTTGATCTGCTTGAGAAGAAAAAGGGTCTGAACCAAGCCGCACCAGATTAAAAACAAGTTAAAAGTCAAACTAGTGGCCTAGATACGTCCACTTCAGTCTCCATGGGATTTCACTCTCCTCAGAAACATCAACACGCACCTCAGAGTACCAGCCTGTCAGCGGAATCTGCTCCCTCACCTATCACTCATTTGGCTCCATTTATCCCAAACCCTGAACAATTCAACTTTTAAACTATTTCCAAGAGGTTTGCTGATTCTACAGTCTCCTTTCCAGCCTCACATAAATGTTTTATATTACAGATAGCTGGAATAATATATCCTTCCTTTCTTCTTTATCGCATGTGTTCAATGAGCCGAGCGTTTCAGAGAACATTGTCCTTTCCCTTTCCATCCCCTGCTTCCCTTTTGTTTCGCTCTGTGGTGTATTTGACCTCCTCCTCTTGCTCTCAGCAGGTTTGAGTCTGATTGTGCGCCGCAGCTGAAATTGCAACAAACCTGCAACCACAGCAAACAACTGGAGGTGAACGGTAATAAACTCTTGTCCTCTGCGAAACACACACCAGGCGCGCAGAGGCAGGAAGACTCTGTCCTCCAACTGGACACTGAAATGTTGGGAAACATGTACCTGGACTTTGCAGCATTTACTATTTACATTCCGTCTTATCTTATTTGTCTTTCCATGCAAAGAGTTTGCTCATTCCTGCATTTCACTTGCACCATTGTATCATTTGCACGCTTTTATTGCACTAAAAATGTAAATGGCACTGTTGGGACTACATTGTCATTGCTAACAACATCGCTGAAGCTATTGTTCAAATGCATAATAGCTTCAGTCTGTTAGCAATGAAAAATCGACAGTCTCCCAACATAGAGCCATGCTGCGGATCAGGATTGTATGGAAGATTATTATGGCCACTATAAGTAAAAGAATAAATAGAAAAAAACTCACCTTACCAGATAAAAAAGAAGAAAGAAATTATCTTTAAAAAACACTTAAAAAAGCTCTTATAAGGTGTCATATGATTCCCCCAACTTGTCCAGTGTACAGTTAAGATGCCTTCGAGTCTCAAGTTGACCGTTAGATGTTTTTTTTTAAAACAGTGAGCTCAGAATAAGAGATAAGGACAAACCGTTTACAGGCATGCTGACGGTTGCTAATCAGCCGGGACACAGATGTGGGAAATATCAGTCTGTTCCTGGTCCTGCACTGTGTCACTGAGCAGACACACCAGACAGCACCCATGTGTGAAAAAGATGATCTCAGTCACTCTGAAGAGGCCTGAGTGGAAAGAGGCAGACAAACTGTAGTAGGAACTGATAATGTCTTTAAATTAGTCATCATAAGTAAATGCAACGACGACTTGTCAATCGTGAAACATTTCAAAAGCTGTTTTTCTGATACGCCTTCCTCCCTTCAGGAGGCCTAATTTGTCACAAAGCCAGCAGCCTTCTTAGGAGAAAGCGGATCCAGCAGAGCCACGTTTCTGCTTCTTCCTTTAGCCTAACAAATTCCTACGAGTCACTCACTCTGAAAGAGGGCATTGTGATTCAACCAAACACTACTCCTACTCCTGTCGTGGAAATGAGGGGAAAAGGGAAATGGGAGTGCATGTGTGTTCACTATTACTCAAAAAAGCTTTCCCGCCTGGCTATGACAAGACCACAGTCTGGCCTATATAGCAATGCTGCATTCAGGTGCTGCTCGTAAAATATATATCACACAGCTATTCTAAAGGCCATTGCCTGATTAAAACAAACCTGGTTGTAGGACATGTTAGTCAACTACATCTAAAGGTTAAAGGGTTTATAGCTTTTCCAAATGACCACATGTAGGCAAAGAAACAAGCAAGAAATTCCCAAAAAGGACAAAGCTACACACACTTTTGGACTGCAACAGTTGATCAAGAAAACTCAAAGAAGTATTTTAGGTAAAATCCTGCATGCTTTTAACTGTATTGGTGGATCACTCCATGAAATAAGATTGTCAGTTTGTCAGTTACATCCACATTTCATCTCTAAATGGATAACGCTTCAAAATCCATGAAATGGGGCCAGATTAAAACGAAAGCTTGTCTTGAAATTAACAGTTTGATAGATGTTAAGCAAAATGAACAAGAAGAAGCCAGAACTTTCACAAAAGAGAATAATTTAACAAAATTGAACACTAAATAGTCTCCATTATATATCTAGAATATAAAACAATGAAAACTTACATCGTAGTTTTTTTTTTAGATATTCAGTTAATTAATTGTAGCCATTTGATTTCTTTTTTAACTCATGTTTACAGCTAGCTACTTCACTAAAGGGCTAATGTATCTCAAATAGTTGCTAGTCTAAATACATTTCACTAATGTTGGATTCCGATAAAATTATATCTCTATGACAGTAGGCTACGCTAAGATTAAAAGTTACATGGCGTAATCCCATTTTTATTCAAATGTTATGCTATATTTAAATGGGTGCGATCAAACATTAGCTTTCGAACTGAACCCCAACACTTTGGGATTCACTTTTTTTTTTTTAAATACAGAAATTAGGTAAAAAAACACCAACAACTTGTCATAAAACATACTGTTTGTATCTGGAAACAATCACTCAAAGAAAGTAGATGATGGTCAATATTCTTCGACTATGTTTATCGACAATTTGCTGTAAAGTTATGACATTTCCCACAGCATGTGAAGGGGACATGAGTATCGTGGAGGAGGCGGGGCTATGCAAATGAGTCTCGTGGAGTGAATAGATGCTCGGGCTCCTGTGAGCGGTGCGAAGACACTTGCTGTGCAGAGAAGAGCCAGTGAACGCAGCTCCGGACAAACAAAACAGATCACTTTCACCCACAAAATCCAACATGTCTTCAAAGTGCCCCAAGTGTGAGAAGACGGTGTATTTCGGTAAGTGCTACCCGTTTTATTTAGTCCTAGCTTTTTGAAATTGCTTTTAGGTCATGATGATGGTGTTTTTTGCGACTCTTAAGCCAAAATATCGATATTTTGGGGACAACGTGTTCCACTGTTTTTGTAAGGTTACACTAACCTTTGTTAATGAGAAAGATTCCTATTAAGACAAAAGGAGTTATTTCTCATTCATTAAAAAAAACAAGCTTGTCAAAAAACTACAATTAAGCATGTGTTGAATTACAGAATTTAGGTATATTAAAAATGCCTATTTTTCAAAAGGAGTTCTGAATATATGCTTAAGTTACAATATCTCAACATACAATAGGGTATAACAAGTATTTGTATGTTTGACAGTAGCCCAATATTGGATCCACAAAGATCAATATTGCTTTAAGCTTTTTATGTTCAGTGGTGGGAAAAATGCCAACCATTCCTAATTTGACCCAAAGAAATTTCTCACAGAAGTAAAGCATTCCTTAGATTAATCATTATTTTAAGGGAAAAAGTGACTTGAGTGAATGATTTACAGACAAACTTTGGGGAAAGCCAACAGCTGGAGAGGAGAAATAGGTCAATGTAAACAAAAGAGCAAATATTTCAACAAATCCCTTCTATTTATAACATATAAAGTGCTTTTAATGTGCGTGAGAGAACCATGCCCCGTCTGCACTGAATTCACAAAAACAAAATCAATGATTTATTTTATTTTGATACTGATCTGTGCCATTTTTAATTTGTTGTGTTTGGTAAACATCCAAGCTTGGCAGTTGGCTTTAGAGGGTTGCTGATGGAGGCCACTGCCAAGAGTACAGAAATGCCATATGCTGAGATTGCCCACTCACGAAGAAGCACGGGAACATCATGCTGCGTCAGTGCTATGAAAACATGTAAACATGCATCTTTTGCATCTCAGTAAACAAATATGGGAGTACAAGACACCTACTTGAGCGAAGAGTAACACTTAGTCACGGCGATTGCATATAATATTTACTCTAACAGATGTTTACAGTGAAGAAATGCTCTCAGATGAGAACAGGGCAGAGGATTAAAGGAGCTCAGTTCATGAAGATAAACACACATTTACATGAATGCTTTCATCCTGAAGGCTGCACTTGCTATGCGCCCAGTTCAGTGTGTCCTTAGGAAACATGCTCCTGTTCTCCTGTTTACGTAATCCTTTGTTTATGTTTGTTTGCATGCTGAAAACAAAAAATGTGTTCTTCTGCGCGGCTGATCTTTCCTCCACTTCACAGCACACAACAGAGCTGTCACGGGGGTCAAAATCAATTATGTGATTGGATGCAAGTCCTCTTATGTAACAGTGGCCGCAAACACACAGCTGCTGCTCTTAGTATGCGTCCCGAGTCACTGGCATGGAATAAATATCTGTGCAAATAAGATTTTATTTCCTCCATTACAAATGTTATGCATGTCTGATTATTCATTTATACTGTAACCTTAATTCGCTGCAGCGAGTGAGTCACAGCTCCTCTGTGATGTGTATGTTATTTTTTTACGTAACATACTGAGATCCATCCTAGTGGAGTTATTTTTGGTTGGGGTGTGTCTTATTGGGTGGAGAGTGCCCGCGGCTGAGTCGCCTGTAAAAATATGTAGAAAGTGAGGGAGGTTTTAACATGGTTAAAGTCATTACAAGGGAGGGTAGCACACATATGACAAGCATGGGAGGGGTCAAGGGTGGGAGAAAAATATCTGCATGTGCTGCTGCCCACAGCCTGAAGCACCAACATGATGTATTCAAATATGAGCTCACCAGCTCCACCTACATGCATCCTCCTCTCAGATACTTGGCCTTTCAGAACTCCTTCTCAGGTCTGCAGAACCGTTAAAGTTGCACGAATGAGGGTGTAAAATGCTTCTGATCTACACCGGGACATGTGTTATTGATAGAGAAAATGGTCTATTTCCCGTCCCATTTCCTCCCCTTATGGTGGTGGTTGGTGGTGTAGCTATACACAGCAGTGATTGGCCCACCCTGCTGTTTCCAACCTGGTCCTGCAGCTGCTGTCGCCCAATATTAGATTAATCAGGCAAATGTTGTCTACACTTGACTCTCCTCTTAAAAGAACGTCATTTAAAGTGGCTGTGGTGTGCCACGGATTGGAGTACTTTTGAATTTCTTTTTTCCGTTCGTTACTTTAATGAACAGCTGTGTTATGGTCGGCGTGGTTTAATTTCATTGCCACTAAAAGTAAGTGTTGACTGTTGCTGACGTTGTCTTTGGTTGTGCAGGTTTTTTCTTTTTCCAAGAAAAAGTCAAATTTTAAACGCCACCGCCTGGCATCACCAAATGGAGTATGAATAACATGCCAATTCCTTAAAGGTAGGGTAGGTAAGAATGGAGAAACCAGCTCGAGGGCGCTAGAATTTGAAAATACGCAGCCGAAAAATCTGCCCCTTCCTTCAGACTTCCTTACAGAGTCCCTCCTCCAACACACACGAACGTGCACATGACCAATGGCCAGTTATTTTAGCCGGGCCGGTGAAATTAATTGTTCGTGCTTTTTACGGCGCCACAGCTTCCACAGATGAAATGTTTTAATGTATTTATTGTCAAAGCATTTAATGTATTCATTGCTATCGGGATGTTTAGAGCATTCCATGGAATATAACAAAAAGTGTTTCTGAAGTGAATTACCTACCCCACCTTTAATCTATTTTTGCATGCTATCACTATGCATTTTAACTTTGCGCTTTCATTTTGATCGGTTGGGTTGGATGGAGTTGCCATAGAAACCCATGACTTTTACCCAGGAGACCGCTGTTCGTATGCAACCAAAAGTCCATCTTAGACTTCTTTACGTAACTTAAACTCCTTTTTTAAAAAGCGTTTTAAAAAAAAAGAAACCCAAACCATGATCTTTTACTAAACCTAACCAAGTAGTTTTATTTGAATTTACAACATTAGACAAGTGTTTTAATACTATAACCTTGGTTCCATATGTGACCAGTTGGGTTATGAAAAATGCGTTCACATGACATTAAAAATGCGTTTAACAAATAACGTGCCGTTTATTTAGCTTTGCGTGAGACCATGTTCAATGACACCAAAAAGATGGAAAGCTTCAGTTGTTGCTTGTGTTAAGAGAAAGTGAACCTCTTGCTTTTTAATTGTTGGGTTGGCTGAATTTGAATTCCAAGCGTCCACGTTGCGGCCACACATCTGTTCGTTCCTGTGGTACAGAGATGCTTAAAATACACCAGGGACTATTGGCTGACATGTGACGAGGCCCAGTGGGAATACGTAGTTAGCGTGTGATAGAGTTCATACGGGACACAACACAGCATGGCTCACTAAATCTCTCTCAGCTCCAGACCCAAATTCAGCTCAGTCATCCAGCCACAACTCTGCATGACAAATTGGAGCAAAGCATCTTTGTGTGGCAAAGTGAACAAATGAGAAACTAATGATGCTATGTTGTGAGTTCCTCTTCCTCTCATTCATCCACCAATTCCTCTCACTCTGGCTCTCTGTCCTCTACTTCTTCGACCACTTGCTCTCGCCTCAGGCTCCAAATTCCTCTTTCCCAAACTAGGAGGAATGGGGGAAATGGGGTGAAATGGCTTGCCTTTATTTTAACAGGAGACTCTCAAAGCGCCTCATGCATTATAATGAGAAACGACAAGTCTATTCACACAAAGCTCTTTCTGTCTCCTCGCACGTTTGTTGCTTCCAGCGAGGCAGAATACCTTCGTCTCTCAGCCCGACGACGGGTTTCCCACACACCTCTCTTGATCCCACTTTTACCCCAAACACCCACACAAAAGCTATTTTTCCCTTTCCATCTCCTCTGTACCCTGTTTTCCACTCGGCTGCCCAGTGGGCTGTGTGAATGTGCCTTTTAGTTATGTAACAACATTTCTTGAGTCCTTGCCTCCCGCTCACTTTCATTGCATAACCTGCCAGCCACTGTTCACCAGTCAATCAGGATCCTTTTTCCCTGGCTTTTTGAGGAACAAATACGATCCCCTAATGGAGATGGCACTTAGCTCGGTGCTGAAAGTCAGCCCTCTCACAGGTGAAAGCATTCCACCTTGCAGCAGAATGACCTGTTGCATAACAGCAGAGGGAACAAAGGGGCTCTGTAGTCCATTCAGATGGATTGAACTTTAAAGTTGTAAACCATAGGATTCTCATTATGTCAAATTGAATTTTGTACGATATTGTTTTGCGATAAAGAGTGTTTGCCTCTATATATATAACAGTCCTCTGCCCTGCTGTGTGTAAGTGCCAGTTGACCTTTAAAAGTTCTTACAGGAAGCATTTAGAACAAATCGCAGACAATTCTATGTTAGATTACAAATCAGTAAAGATGAAACTTAAATAGTGCAGACTTTTTGGAAAAATTGAAAGAAAACTAGATTGAATTCCAGCACATAACCTTAAATAGCAGCTAGAGAACATTTGACTTACTCAATTGTATAAACTCACACTCACTCAGTTTTCTAAAAGTATCAAAGGTATTTTTTCCTAATTCATTTAGAACACAACTATAATAGCATAAATAAGAAGTTAATGTAACTCAGCAGTATCTGTCAACATCATAGTATCCTTACCTTTGTTCAAAATGTTCAAAATGTATCAACACATTGTCAGATGGGGAAAATGGCAAATGTTCTCAGTTAGTGAAAAAACTAACAATAGCCTAGATTTCCTCCCCTCTGGAGTTCAATGCACAGACTGTTGTGTTGTTGGCCATGCTTATTTAATTATGAATGGTAGCTAAAACTCCGGATAATAAGTGACAGCATTTACCCGCGCCTAGATCACAGAAAACAAAGCATGTTAGTAGTAAACAAAATGCCGAAGACAAATAAATACTGCACGCATGTATTTCATTTAGCTTATTCTGTATCACTCTTTAGTGCCGTCTCTTTTATTAAAACTCAATATGAACATTTCCATTCTTCTTTTGTGTTTCCAGGGACTCTACTCTAAAAATGTCTTGCCAGAACCATCAGTTCAGGATTAA